CCCCCCCCCCCCTCCCCCCCTTACGTGCGCGCGCACCAGTCTGGACAGAAGGGGTAAGAAGTGAGTGACGACGAAGCTGCCACTATCAGTCTAATGAGAGGGAGAAAAAGAGAGAGAGAGAGAGAGAGACGAGAAATTCCAAGCGGTGAAGAGACGCATCTCGCGCTTAACCTCTCACAATTGGACCTTGGAACACTGGCCGGGCCGGATTTGAAATTGGACCTTGGAGCTTCTTTACCAGAGCTGCAGGAGTTTGAAACTCAGATGTTCTGTTCGAAGAAACTGGACAGAACCAACATCTGGGTTTTTCTTCCTTAGAAGACAACAAATATTGGCACTGAAAAAAAAAAACATATTCAAGCGGGCTTGCGGAAAATAGCCGAAGGGGAGCAGGGCGCGACTTCTGTATACCGCAATCAATAGATCTAACAATAGAGAGAGAAAGAGAGAGAGAAGAGAGAGGAGAGAGAGGAGAGAAGAGAGAGGAAAGAGGAGAGAGAAGAGAGAGAGAGGAGAAGAGAAAGAGGAGAGGAGGGAGGAACCAGAAATCAAGAAACATCAAAATGAGAGAGAGAGGAGACAGGAAAGAGAGGAGAGAGAGAGGCAAGAGAAGAATCGAAGTGAGAGAGAAGAGCGAGGGGAGAGAAAGGAGAGAGGAGAGGAGAGGAGAGGGAAGAAGAGGAGAGGAGAGAGAGGAGAGAGAGGAGAGAGAGGAGAGAGAGGAGAGAGAGGAGAGAGAGGAGAGAGGGCAATGGATTTAAAAAAATCGATAATACAGTCTCAAGTATGGCAATGGATTTAAAAAAAAAAGAAAGTAAGGCAATGGATTTCTGATTTGCCTTTCAAAAAAAAAAAAAAAAAAACGATTGGCCTGCATTATATGGATAAACAAGAACAAAAGAGAAAGAAAGACAGAGACAGCGAGAGAAACACACAGACAGACTTTTTAAAAGAACACAGATATGAAATTAGTATCAAATTACAACGAAAAAATTATTTGGAAAATGATCCAGCAGCTGATCACGGGCCCTCAAACGAAGGGACGCTGGGCCCGTTTGCCATTAATTTGACTCTTACCCTCTTTTTCTTTTCATTTTTCGATTTGACCTCAAAGACGATGAGTAGCCAGCAAATCCAGCCCGCAAACCCATTTAAAAAAAAAAAAAAGAGAGAACGAAAAGGATATTTCTTATTTGAATTTTTATTTCTTAATTTATCTACATCAAAAAAGAGCCAAAATGACATTTCTAATCTCTAATTTATCCACATTTCTTTTTTTCTCACTACATACTTTTTTTTTGCCTACCCACATTCCCTATTCAAAAAAGGGCCCGTAAGACCTCTCTCTCTCTCTCTCTCTCTTACTCTCTCTCTCTCTCTTTCTCTCTCTCTCTCTCTCTCTTCTCCCCCCCGTTGAATGTAGGTGCATTGCGCGCTTCGAGCGAGATCTTTTCCACGCCGTATTCATATATACATATATCACGACTTCCCTAGCACCCTGCTATGGTCTTCTCCGGTCGGGTTGAGCGTCTGTGGTCGGGGCAGTCACTACGCGCCAAGCTGTGCCTCTAGTGCCAGCAGCGTGTCTGGATACGGCGTATTTTCTGGCTGTGATAGACCTTTCTTTGTTTCGTGGGTGTTTTGCTGGCTTGTGATGGGGGGTGAACCGACAGTATGTAGAGTTTTCCATCTGGTGTGTGGGTGAGTGATATAGCCTGCTTTGATTTTCGTCACAGGTGCCTTCAGGGCAGCAGTGGTTGGTGGTCCCCACCACCTCAGAGGCGTATCAGTTGTCCGGCAGTCTTTGATGCTTAACCACAATGGGGGTTAAGGTGGATTATCACTTACTTAGTGTAATCAGTTAGGTAGGGGTGGTGGGGACCACCTGGATTCACCTACTTAGTGTCGGACTGTTTTTGAGGGTTCAGCCTCCTGATGATTCGGTAGGTGAAACTCCGACGAAACAGTTTGTCACAGCCCCCCCTCGTTTGTTGTCCTCTTCTCCCTCCCTCCCTCCCTCCCTCCCTCTCTGCCTACTCAGGTTTACCGGGCAGTTCTGTTTGACGACATGTATATATGTAAATAGATATATATAAATATATATATCGTCACAGAGATATCAGAGCGCAAAAGCGAAAAAAAAGGAAACAAAAAAGATATCAATTCATTTTTTATCTTCTTACTTACTCCCCCTGTTCAGAACATCTTGCGTACAAGGCCGCCCACGTGGATGTGGTTGAGCGGCGCCTGCCCCCACCCCCGTGTGTAGTATCGACCCACTTGCACACAGCCAAAAGGCAAAGAGCCAAAGGAGGAGGAAGGGAGCAGCCAAATATAACAAAACAGGGGGAAACAAACGTAACAGATCCTAGACGACGAGTCCCAAATGTCCCACGTGCAAGCACCGCCCCCTACATCATAGGCCAAACGACGGGACAATGACCAACAAGGATATCAATGCAAAAAAGGGTGTTGATTGATATCCTGGTTGGTCATTGTCCCGTCGTTTGGCCTATGATGTAGGGGGCGGTGCTTGCACGTGGGACATTTGGGACTTGTCATCTAGGATCTGTTACGTTTGTTTCCCCCTGTTTTGTTATATTTGGCTGCTCCCATCCTCCTCCTTTGCCTCTTTGCCTTTTGGCTGTGTGCGAGTGGGTCAATATGACACACGGGGGTGGGGGCAGGCGCCGCTCAACCACATCCACGTGGGCGGCCTTGTACGCAAGGTGTTCTGAACAGGGGGAGTTATAAGTAAGAAGATAAAAAATGAATTGATATCTTTTTCGTTTCCTTTTCTTTCTCTTTTGCGCTCTGATATATAAATATATATTTTATATATATTGTCACATGATATCAGAGGGCCAAAGCGAAAAACAGAAACAAGAAACTTATTTCATTTTTAATCTTCTTCCTTACAACTCCCCATGTTCATAGATATATATATATATATATAATATATATATATCGTCACAAACAGAACTGCTCGGTAAACCGTAGGCAGAGAGCGAGAAGAGGACAACAAACGAGGGGCTGTGACAAACTGTTTCGTCGGAGTTTCACCGACTCATCATATATCGTCACAAACAGAACTGCCCGGTAAACCGTAGGCAGAGAGAGAGAAGAGGACAACAAACGATATATATAATATATATAGTAACGCAAGAGGTTCTGAACAGGGGGAGTTGTAAGGAAGAAGATTAAAAATGAATAAGTTTTTTCTTGCTTTCCTTGTTTGCTTTCGTTTTTCGCTTTGGCGCTCTGATATCATGTACAACATATATACAGATAAAAATATTGTCATAGAGAACTGTCTGGAGAACTGTAGGCAGAGAGAAAGAGGAGGACAGCGAACGAGGGGCCGTGACACAGACCGTTTCGACGGAGTTTCATCATATGCATACAGACAAAAGAAAAAGAATTCAAAAAATAAAAAAAAGAGGGGAGGGGGGGGGGGGGGGGGGGGGGGGGGAGGGGGAGGGGGAATCTAACCTTAATGTATACATATACAAACGAGAAAGAATGGAAAAAAATAAAAAAGGGGAAAAAAAAAAAAAGCTAACCTTCATGAAGATCAGCTGCTTGGCAGATAGCGAGACAGATCCGAGAAGTGCACAGGTCACCAGGAGCATGATGAACAAAGAGAATGTTCGGCGACACTTCCTCTTCTCAAAACATGGCAATGATAAGGGAAACGCGCATCCCCCTCCTGCTCCTGACGATGCTCCCTCCAGTCCCGACAAGTCCGATCGCGATCCTCCTCCCACTCCTCCCAATCCCGACCCCGACCCGGTGTGGAACGAACCACTGCAGCAGCACGGACACATAACTCGACCTGTCTGAGACAAGAACCCGTAGGATTTGGTCCCGACGATGCAACGGGACGGGATGTGAGAATAGGAGGAGGAGGCGGAGGAGGAGGAAGAGGAGGTGGAGGTGGTGGGTGGTGGTAATGCCATAAAACATGAGGAGGAGGAGGAGGAAGAGCAAGAGGACGAGCAGGAGGAGGTGGAAGAGGCGGAAGCAGGGGGAGGGGGTGTCAGAGAAGATACCAACCAGGCCGGAAGGGGAGTCGTGCTGGAGGAGAAGAAGCGAGACAAGTAAAGCGACCAACGTGTCCGTCGGGATCGCGACAGTCCCCCTTTCAAGCTCCCTCCGCTGCTGATTGAAGCTGGTCCATTTCCCCCGACTATCCCTCCCACCACCGGTCCCCCAACCAACCCTCCACCCCCAACCAACCCTCCAATAGCACCATCGACATTGCCGATGAGGCCAACATGACAACAAGCACAGGAATGAGGACACGCGGTACAATTTCCAGCAGCCAAGCTCATCGCTCCCCCACCAGCAGCACCCCCGCTGCTCAGAAAACGGACATAATGACATGTAGAAGCATTACCTCCTACAGAGAGAGAGCCAGAGGAGTGAGAGCGGGAGAGCTTCGCAGAAGCCCCCGCGCTGGTCAAGGCTGGTTTCAATGAGGGTGACATGATGGGTCTCTCAGGTGATTGATTAATGGACAGGTGAGTCTTCTTGCTGTTGATTGCTTGATTAGCCACTTCCTCTCTCTCTCTCTCTCTCTCTCTCTCTCTCTCTC